GCTGTTGTTTGATGAGGGAGACTTACCTCTTGTTGGCGCTGAACTCTGGAACTCATGATACTCTCTGTATTCAATGACATTGATAATATAAGCTGTGCTACTGGTTATTATCTCATCTCAGTCTGGTTTTGTGTGAGACCACTTTGTACGTGTGATGACATGTATTCATGCGGTGTGATGCTCTCAAGCAAGCTGTGAACAGTCAGGTTCCTTGCAATTCTGGTATCGGAGCAGATACTTGTTGTACTCACTGCGCTGGCATAAGCAAGGTCGGCGAGAAGAAGGAGAGACTGCCGGCTGGTTGTTGATGCTGGCGATGGTGGAGGAAGTGGTTGATAGGGATATGGGAGAGAGAGAGGCCGAAGAGGAAGGGGCAGAAGTGTTACTTACCTGGAGCTGGAGTGCAGAGCGACGAGGAGTCTTCATCAACGATCGCTGCCCAAGAGAGAAGCACCCTTACCCCTTACCTGGCTGCATGTGTGTGTGTATCTCTTCTCCTTATCCTCTCTGGGGTCGCTGATGCTGCTGTCAAATTGGGTCATAGGGTCTAGAGTCTGGATGGTTGAAGTCAAAGGAACTTGTCATGTTGGAGCTTAGAGTGAACAGAGAATCAGAGTCCTTCTCTTCTCCAACCCTCTAGTCAGGAGTCTGCGCTATAGTCAAGATAGGAGTACGGCAGTTGCCACAGCAGATACAAGTAAGGTACCAAGTCTAATCAAACTGGGTAAGGATAATTGTGATTGAAGTGAGACCCAGATATCTGATTAAGTGATTACTCCAGTGCCTACCTGCGCAAGAGGACAACAGACAGGGTTAGCATAAAGAGGTAAAAGAAAAAGAAAAAAAAACAATACATATAAGGAAGTGAAAAAGTTCCAACCAGCCAGTGAACCGCAGAAGGCATCAAGCGGACCTTTGACCTGTAATATTGTTCTGATCAGTTCAACATTCGGATCTGAAGGCAAGCAGCAAGAGAAAAAAAAAAAAAAAAAGGTACATTACTATATTTAAGTCTGAAATTTGTAATTATTGAAACAGTGACACCCAAAAGTCAAAAAAGAAAAATTAATTACAGACAAAGCAAAGTGTCTTTATTCCATCCACCCCCACGTACAGTAATTTGAGACTCAACTGGGAGGCCTACCTGGTGGGACCCGCAGAGGGTACCCTGTGCTAAGTCCCATCATGGTGGACGATTTCCCTATGCAGGGCTTGATTGCCCTTTCCATATTGTTGAGCCCGCTGTTCCGAGTTCTGTTTCCCCTGGGCTTCGGGAGGGTAAGCACCTCCCATATGATGATGCGCTCAGGCGCAGTGAAGCCAGGGCCCACAACTGCTGAGCAGGCTGAGATTGACCACTGACAGGCAGAAAAGAAGAAGGAAAGAGAAGAAAGAAAGAAAAAGAAAGAAGAGGAATTAAAGAAGAAGGCCCAGCTAGAAGAAGAGAGTTAAAGAAAAAGTTAAAAGAGAAGTTGGACCAGGAAATAAAGGAAGAATTGCAAACTATTGAAGAAGAAGAAGAGTCAGAGGAAGGAGGAGAAAGACTTGTCAGGCGGCATGCAGGAGGAGGTGAAACCAGCCAAACAGCGGGAGAACTT